GTTCTCCCATCACCCACTCCAACGCCATGTGACCCAGTCCAGGTCCCCTTCGTTCACTCGCATTTGGGCCCCAGCCATAGCAGCACTTTCTCCAGGAAGCCTCTGTGACCATTCCCTCTGGTATTAATATGTGTAACCCACTTGCTACCCCGTGCTCTGTACTTCCATCACAGCACCTTTGCTGGGACTACAGGTGCCTGCCACCACGCCTGACTAATTTTTGTATTTTTAGTAGAGATGGGGTTTCACCACGTTGGCCAGGCTGATCTCCAACTCCCAACCTCAGGTGATCCACCTGCCTCGGCCTCCCAAAGTGCTGGGATTACAGGCGTCAGTGTGCGCCCGGCCGGCCCTGACTCTCACTTTTGAAAGTGAGTTGGTTGTCAGCTTGTGTTCATTAATACGAATTTGCAATTGAGGCACTTCCCTGTGACATCATACAAAGAAGCAGTGTCGGGGAAGATGACACTCAGTGAAATCCTACTCCCTCCTGAGACATGCAACAAATCCACGGTTGGCTCTGGAGCTGGTCCCAGCTCACTTCAGGTTCTTGTAATGATGGTGTGGACACTGACACACAGGGTAGGTTCTGTGGGAACCCCCCCACCCGATGACCTAGCCAGAGGGACTGGTCTTGAAGTTCCAGGGCTGGCACATCATGGAAAGCCTAATGTTTGCTGCCGTGGAATTTCCTGGGGGAAGATGAGAAGAATTTGTAAAAAGTTAAAAAGGATACATAAACATCAATGACAGAAAGAAAAAGTTCAGAGGTAGGAGAGACCAGTTCCAAAGGAGGGGATTGTATTAGAATGTGACCCCCAAATCTGCCAGCCCAGAACTCACTTGGGGAAGCTTGAAATACAGGTTTCTGGGTTCTACTGCTAGGGAGCCTGGGCTGTGTGATCTGTGCTTAGCACACTGCCCGGTAGGCACATAGACATGTTCAGTAAATGTGTTAAGAATGAATGCATCTCCAAGGTCCGTCGCAACTCAGTGATTCTGTGCATCCTTCTGGCTTGGGGAGGCAGGAGGGAGGTGTTGCTGGAAGAATCTTTGAGGCAAGAAGAAGAGCAGGATCACAGGACTGAGTAACTGGAAGGAAGAGTTTGGCACCTTTGCAGTCATTTTGCATACATGCCAGGTGCAGAGTAGGGGGCGGGGTGAGTAAGCTGGTTTCAACTTTCCCCCTTCCTTTTCTAATCAGCTTTTAAGCTGAACTCAGTTTCTATTGGAGAAGGGTGAGCTAGCTGAAACATGAGGATGGAATTTCCTTTTTTTCTTCTTCTGAGAAAACGAAGTGTGAGAACCCAAGTGCTTAGCTAGCTCACAAAACAGACTCACAAGAGGACAGAGGAGGGGCCCTGGGTCAGGACTTGAGACTGGAGCAGTCCTCACCTGCCATCGGCCCTCCTGTGGCATGCCAACGCAGTGTTGAGCTCCTATGGGTTTATCTCCTAGTGATGGCAAGCACAGCCGGAGACCCCAGGGAATCTCAAGGCTCCAATGTGGCCCTATGTGTGGGAGAATCTTAATGGCCTCAGCCTACTTGTGAGCCCGGCATCTCCTGTCCCTTCTCTTGATTCCCACAATTGCTGTTTCCATAGACTGAGACTCTCCCAGCGTAGTTTCCTTGATGCCTCCTTCTAGAGCTTGTTCCACTCTCTCCAGGTTCTCATGGAGAGAGGGCTGCTGCATTTATCACTGCCTTCTCCTCCCTTGCATTGCATGGAACCATTTATAGTTATCTGCTATAATATCTTTTGCTTTTAAACAATGGTATTTTTACTGATAAAAGCAGTACACATTCATACAAAAAGTTTGGCAGATAAAGAAACTTCACAGTTTCATTCTGGCTGTTTAGAAGGCTTCTGAGAGGTGTGATGGTCACAAAAAGGAGAACTGAAAAGAGCTTTAGCTGGGGGCATGATGGTTCCCGCCTGTAATCCCAACACTGTAAGGCCAAGGCAGGAGGATTGCTTGAGCTCAGGAGTTCGAGACCAGCCTGGGCAAATAGCAAGATCCTGTCTCCACCAAAAGTAAAAATAAAAATTAGCTGGGCTTGGTGGCATGTAGTTGTAGTCCCAGCTACTTGGGAGGCTGAGGTGGGAGGGTTGCTTGAGGTTGGGAGGTTGAGGCAGCAACTTGGGTGACAGGGCAAAGACACCATCTCTAGACACAAGAAAAGAGCCTCATTGGGTTTTTCTGATGCCCTTTCTTCTTATCTGCTGTCCCCTCCAGAGGACAGGAGATAAGAATGTTCTGTCCCCACCCAGCCATTCTCCAGTGCCCAGGTCTTGGACTGCACAGGAAGCACCCCCTATGCTCTGTACCCCTGTGAATAAAACCTTTTTTACATAGGAGATTCCAGATTTAGATACAGAACTCAGGACTATTAAGGAGATTCCTGTTTTATTGGCTTAGCAATAACAATGTCATGAAAGCTTCACTTTCTACAAGAAAAATCCTGTCTTGCAACTATGATTATGAGAGAGCACACCACTTCCTCTTGCCTCCGGGGGATCCCTTGATAGAATTAAGTGTTATTATGGGGCATTGTGCACCTCTTCAGGAAGCCGCTGAAAGACAGCCAACAATCAGCAAGTTCATAATCTCGTGTGTCCCATGGGTATCTGAGAATGGAGTACAAGTGTGCAGAGACGTAGAAGCCACCAGTCCTCAGGGTCACTTGGTCACCTGGGGCTGCTGAACTCCTGGGCTGCGCGCGCACACATACACACACATACACACACACACACACACACACCTGGGGCTGCTAAACTCCTGGGCTGTGCGCGCGCGCACACACACACACACACACACACACCTTTGCTCTGTCAGCTAAGCTCTGAGTCCATGGTTTTCTTGGTCCTGGGAAATGAGCAAAAAGATGGCTCTCTCCATTTTGCAAGTAAGGAAAATGAACTCAAGGAGACAACTTTAGCATATGCAAAGCACTTTACACATATTAACTCCCTTAATCCTCACGATGTTTTGAGGTTGGTGCTAATATTATCCCCACATGACATGAGGACAGGCTAATAACTTGCCCAGGTTCAAACAACTGATGAGTAGTGGAGCCGGGAATCAAAAGGGAAGAGTGTGATTTTGGAGTCCATACCCATGAGCACTATTTTATCGCGTTGCTGCTAATGGGGTCTTTCTGAAATACTGCTTTGCACATGTAACTCCCAGCTATGCAAGTTGTCAGTGGTTCACTGTTGCCCACAGGATAAAGACCAAGCGTCTTAGTCTTTCAGTGCTTTCCATGGCCCGCTGTCAACCCCCCGTTCCTGCTTACCCAGCATGAGCGGTGAGGAGCCCTGGGGCATGCCTGGATGATGGTGTTCCACTGAACAAGCGTGCTTCCTACCCGTCCTCTCGGTTAAAGCCCAGACCAAGCCTCACCCATTCAGAAATGCACCACCTCTACCACCGTCCTCCTGGTCTGACTGTGTTCACGGTGATCTTTTCCTTCTTTGTTGGTACTCACTGTCCGTGCCCTTTGTTCCGTATTTAGTTTGGGTTGTATTCTGTTCATGTACCTTTCACGTACCTGTCCAGTCTCCCTGCCGCATCCTCAATGTCAGCCGTTATTGACGACGCTAATGAATATTCATCCCCACACACCTACTTGATGAGAAATTGAGACTCTGAGATTTGCAATTGCAATATTTGCTCAGATATCATTTTCCATTCAATAGTGGTATCCTAAATATAGCACATTAGCGAATTAACGTGGTCTGAGACCCTGTCTCATGCTCTATGCAACCCTCTCTCCCTCAGACTACCTCCCTATTCCAGGAGGTCAAGATTGACTGTCCCAAATAGTCCTCATCATTACTGTGCTGTGCGGGACTTAGCTGTGCTGGATGATATTAATTGTTGTACCCAGTTGTTATTTCAGTGCGGCCAGATTTTTACAGAAGTGGGTCTGCTACCAGCTGTGTGTCAGCTTTGGATAAACATCCTTCAATTCCATAGGGGAGGTCTGGAAGAAGGAGAACTCCTGTTTTGGCTTCAAAGACCAGAACTTCGACTCAAGCTGTGGCCTGTTGTTTGCTAAGCTTCAGTCATTTGAGTGCCAGCTTCACAGTTTTTGCCACACCTACATAGTCCGCACACTCTGTTTTATTATTATTTTTTTTGTAGAGGCAAGGTCTCTCTCTGTTGCTCAGGCTGGAGTGCAGTGGCACGATCATAGCTCACCATAACCTGGAAATCTTGGCCTCAAGCGATCGTCCCACCTCAGCCTCTCAAAGCACTGGGATTACAGGTGTGAGACACCATGCCTGGCCTTATTTTTTTTAACTTAAATTTTAATCTCATCCTAAATAATAACAACTACAATGTTACAGGTTCAATGTGCTCATTACAGTTTTTCAAATGGATTTTACAGTAAATCCACACCTATTAGGTAACACTTTATCTGTGTACTACACATATTACGTCCCCTTCCTCTGTGGTGTGCTTGCCACCCTCTGGGACACACTGCTCTAGTATTTTGGTCTTCTCCTCCTCACCCTTTCTAGATGTGAAGTCTCTTCTGATCAGGTCACAGGCTGGGTGCCTGTGTTCCACTGGGCGGATTCCGCTATGCCACCTTCAGAGCCACATTCAGGGTGAAAAGACTTCCAGGCAAGGCAATGGCCATTTTCTTTTCTAAAGAGCAAGAGCAGCTCAGCTGTTACTCCTTACCGTATCCAGGGTCTCTAGTTAAGGTTTTATTGGAAGAAAAGGCCATATTGATTTTTTTAAAGCATGAAAACCATAGGCCAAGCCCATCCAGGATGAACACTTTGGGAAAGGTCATTTGTTTGGATAATCATCCACTCATACATTCATTGAGTACCTAGGTATTGGAGCCTCTCTTGGCTCTTCCTAGCTTAGGGGTCAGGAGAGCTGGCCTCAAGCATAGTTTGTTTACTGTAATGAAACAACAATATGCAGTGTGGGATGAGGCCATGCCAAGCACTGTTCCTATTTTCTTCCACTTGATCCAGGCTGGAAGTAAACCTTCAGTTCAAGTCCAGAAGCCACCTTCCAACACCAAGAACTCCAGAATGACCCAAGTCTTTCATAAGGTAGGGAGTGATGTTCAGCTCCTTTTCTCTAGGAGAGAATGAGGAGAGGCGGGTGGCCAGGGTAGCTTCGAACAGGCAGTTTTGGCCAGTTCATCATGACATGTATCATAACATGATGACAGCACTCTGTCCACATCACCATTGCCATGTGATTTTTTAAAATGTTTTAATTTTAATTTTTGTGGGTACATAGTAAGTGCGTATATTGATGGGACACATGAGATGTTTTGATAGAGATATGCAATGTGTAATAATCACATCATGGAAAATGGGTTATTCGTCCCCTCAAGCATTTATCCTTTGTGTTACATACAATAAAATACAATTAAATTACTATTGATTATAGTCACCCTGTTGTGCTATCAAACACGAGGTCTTATTCAATCTATGTTTTTGTACTTATTAACCATCCCCACCTCTCCCGCAACCATTACCCTTCCCAGCCTCTAATAACCATCCTTTTAATCTCTTTCTCCCTTAATCCAATTGTTTTGATTTTTAGATCCACAAATAAGTGAGAACATGTGATATTTCTCTTTCTGTGCCTGGCTTATTTCACTTAGCCTAATGATCTCTAGTTCTATCCATATTGTTGCAAATGACAGGATCTCATTCTTTATTTATGACTGAATAGTATTGCATTGTGTTTAAGTATCACATTTTCTTTATTCATCCATCTGTTGATGGACACTTAACGTTGCTTCCAAATTTTAGCTATTTTGACCTCTCTCCTGATTAATTAGTCAATCAGTGGAGGAGGGCAGGGATCCAAGTGAGTAGGTCAAGTCAATAATGTAGTCATAGAGGAAATGGAAGCTTATGTTGCACTGAGCAAGATCTGCGTGATATAACAGGAAGAACTTCCCTGCGTTGGGGTGGTAAGATATTGGAGTAATAATAATAATGGCCAGCACTTACAGTCTATATACTGACTCATTTACCTCACAAAAGCCTTATGAGGTAGGCCCCATTTTTGTTCCCATGGTAGTGATGAAATAATTGAGGTTTCGAGGAAGAGTCAGTGTGAGCTGTTGAAAGTCTACAGCTACTAAGCGGTAGAGCAGGAACTCAAACCCAGAGCCCATGTGCTTGTTGACTCTGCTGCTCTGGAATCTGCATTTCTTGCCAAGAACGTTAACAATAGGTTTATGTCCGGATTGGGGTTAGACTCATCTTTCGTTGGGGGGTTGGGAAGGGGGGCTAGAAGAAATGATGCCTGGAGACATTTTCTTGCCTAAGGTTTTTGTAATGTATGCAGTTTCTCCTTCTACAGAACTCCAGTGTTACTTCACTCCCCTTTGTGGACGCCAAGGGGAAGAAGAATATGGTAAGCTTCCCACGCATTAGCAAGAAAGTCCTGCTGAAGTCATCCCTGCTGTATCAGGTGGGTGCAGACGGACGGGACCCTGAGAAGGTTTTAGTCCAAAGTTTTAGAAAGGCCCAGGATGCTGGGGAAAAGCACAGTATCTGCTGAAGAGTTGGGTTCTGGTCCTGTTCCCATTCTTTACAATGATTATAAAGCTTGAGCAAATAAGTCCTTAACCTTTTCTTAGCTACGAAATGGTCCCTCTGTAGAGTTGTCAGGAGGATTCACTGAGGAAAGGAAAAATGAAGCGCTGTGCATGAAAGGTGGAACCATACAAAATATTCGTTTCCTCCCATGTCCTCCTACTTCTTTTGTGTAGGGACCAAATGAGATAATAGGTGAGAAGGTGCCAACTGAAAGAGGTGTCACACACACATAAGTTCACGTGCTCCTGGGCAAGTCACTTTGTCTAGCTGGGAACTCACCTCCTTAAGAGCAGCAGTGAAAAACTGTCCCCATCTCTTCCCACAGTGAGATGTTGCTGGGGTTGTCAACAGCATACTGTAAGGTACAGGGGTCTCCCCAGGAACAGTGTGAGTCAGACAGATACTTCCTTTGGGAGAGAGATAGGGAGAACCTACTGTCTCTTAATTGCTGTTTTCTCCCTGGAGAGGTAGGTAAATAGCCTGGCTGAAGGTGGGTGTCTTTGGTTAAAGAAACGGTTATGTCCCCCAGGAGAGTCTTAAGTAGTTATTTATTGCAAACCTCTTTTCCTGGACAGGAGAATCAAGCTCACAATCAGATGCCGGCCTCAGAGCTCAAGGCTTCAGAAATACCTTTGCACCCTAGCATTAAAACCCAGGATCCCAAGGCAGGGGAGAAGTCACCAAAGAAGCACAAGGTGCCTCTGACAGCGGCAGGTATGCGTTTGGGGCAGTAGCAGGATTTGGAGGTGGTTATGGAAGGTCAGGGTGTCAAGAGCTCAGCTGCCTGGAGTGAGCTAAGCTGCCAGGTGTCAGAGTCATCAGTGAAGGCAGCAAACCACGAGGAAAGTAGAAGTTAAGCGTTGAACCTCTGACTGTGGTAGTATAAGCAAGAGGCTGAATAGGAGGCTGAATGTTCCCCCATGGAGTGACTCTGGGCAAGGGCGGGATGTACCCGTGCAGACAGAAGGAAGTGTCTCATTTGCTTAAGGAGCCAGACAGAAGGCTCCTGTCATTTTATGGACCCAGGGGCCAGGCGGAAGGCACTGAGAGAGTGGAAGAGCTAGGGGTGGAAAGGTACTGAATACAGAGAGCAGAGCAAAGGGTGTTGAAGCTCCTTCCTCTTGGTAAGGAGGTGTTGGGGAGGAGCCTCTGCGGGGGGATCTTGGTTAGAAATGCAGATATGTAGAAGAGCATGGCCAGCCAGGGGTCTCCGTCCTTGGCTGTAGCTTCCTCCAGAGACTGCAGTGCACCGGCTGTGGCGCAGGGAAGCATCTTTACCCGTGAGGCTTGCCAGGTGAAGCCTTTGTGGACTGCCTTGTGGTCAGGCCTAAAAGATTGCACATGGGTTTTTGGCCAGTGGCTAGACTTCTAACGGGGTTCGGAGACTCATAACCTATTAGGACACAAAGGAAGACCACCCAAACCCACCAAGCATCCACTATGGGTGCCATCATCGGATGCTTTACAGCTCTTCTTCCACAACTTAGAAAGTGAAAGTGGTGCTTGTTGTTCTTAAACAACTCCGGGAACTATGCACGAAGAGGTCATTTCAGTCCTGAGCTCGTTCTGCCTTTACAGAGCTGCCGTCTGCCCCCTGCTATCTTATGCCTTGGCTCTGTCCTCTGGGCAAAGAACATGCCTTGTTCAGCGTATACATGACTGCCCTTCACTTATATGAAAACAGAAGTCTTGTCCCCTGTAAGTCTTTTTCTTTTTCCTTGCAGTTCCCTCTCCAACACTTCAGCAGTCTGTCAAATAATATGGTGTCCCCGTCCTGATCCTAGTTTCTTTTCTCTGAGAATGCTGTAGTTTATCAATGACTGTGAATTTTACCCCTGACCACGCACCAGAGCGCCGATGTGATCTGGCCAGTGTAGAAACGTCCTAACTCATAATCTCTCCTTGCAATCTGAGGTCCTTCCTGATTCAGCTGCAGATTTGAGCGTGAAGCCTCCTCTGCCGACATTACAGTCTTCAAAGCCTCTCAACTAATGATAGCTTCATTCCACATTAACTTGGGCAACTTAACACCTAAACGATATACTATTGTTGACACTAATTTTTTTTTTTTTTTTTTTTTTTTTTTTTTTTTGAGACGGAGTCTGGCTCTGTCGCCCAGGCTGGAGTGCAGTGGCCGGATCTCAGCTCACTGCAAGCTCTGTCTCCCGGGTTCACACCATTCTCCTGCCTCAGCCTCCCGAGTAGCTGGGACTACAGGCGCCCGCCACCGCGCCCGGCTAGTTTTTTGTATTTTTTAGTAGAGACGGGGTTTCACCGTGTTAGCCAGGATGGTCTCGATCTCTTGACCTCGTGATCCGCCCGCCTCGGCCTCCCAAAGTGCTGGGATTACAGGTGTGAGCCACTACGCCCGGCGTTGACACTAATTTTACTCCTGGAATTTTTACCCACACTGCTCTAACCCCCAGGTGTATGGGGACTGAGCTCTCCCTTTCCCTGTCCTTGTGTTCTTTCCTTGATTTGTTGAAATAAGTGCAAGACCTTGACATTTATCTTTGTCATACTTCCATCTTGTGAGATGCCAGATGCATGGTCCTCAGTGAGCCACCCAGCTGGGAAACAGGCCGATGGCTCGTGACCTGGAAGGATGCCATCGTCTGCATCCTGGGCAAATCCTATGCTGCCTCAACTTAACTCACAATTGTAGTGTTTTTCACAGAGGCCCTAAAGCTTTTTAAGAATCAGCTGTCTCCATATGAGCAAAGTGAAATCCTGGGCTACACGGAGCTGTGGTTCCTGGGGCTTGAAGCCAAGAAGCTCGACCTGGCTCCTGAGAAATTTAGCAAGACGAGTTTTGATGATGAGCAAGGCTCCTATCTGAAGGTGACTGGGGGTGGGGGCCATGGGAATCTCCAGGGGCCCGGGGACAACGGGTAGTCTAGAAAGGAAAAAAGCAGGGGTATTTTGTAGTATTTGGTGCTGATATGTTGGAGACTAGATGTCCTGAAGTATTCTGGTAGTGCCAAGCCAAAGAAATACCATGCCTGAAAATGGGGAAACATGCAATTTAGTATGCAAAATACTCTACTAATGGAAGACTGACTTTCCCCCAAGCGTACTTGGGGTAGCCGGTTTGCATCCTGGGTGAGCTCCCACAGGCTCCTTCCCTGCATAGCCCACTGGAAAAGGCCAGACTGAAATAAGGAGCAGTTTCCCCAACATTTCCTTTTTTGTCTCCTCAATACAAGTCCATACATGGACTCTTATTTTATAATAGATGTCAATTAACCCACAGACAAAAAAGCTTTTGTCACTGTAGTCCCTGGTGCATAGAGCTTAATTTCATTCTGCTTTTAAAAAATTGATCCCAACAGCTCCTCTTCCTCCTCCTCTTCTGACTGTAGCCCTTGGCTTCCCCAGGGCAGTGCCTCTTCCTAGCCGGAAGGTGAAAGCTGAGCAGTGATTCCCAGGGCTGAGCATGTTGGGATGTGTGACGCTTAGTGCACTAGACTGTGGGCTGTCAGGAATTTCCTCTTCAGAACATTTCATTACCACTTGGATTTAAGAGACAAGATGAGCCTGATGGCTCATAGAAGAGGCAGATCTTATTAATAGCATTGAGGGCCATGTTTGTCTAGCATTACTAAGAACACAAACCACTTGCAGGATCTTGTTAAAATGCAAGTTCTTATCCAGCCGGTCTGGGGCTAGGGCCTGAGCTTCCAGGTGATGCCTGTGCTGCTGATCCTTGGACCACACTTTGAGATTCAAGGATTTCGTTTCTGTCACACAGTGCCTTCTAGAGCCTGGCTTTTCAATGTTTTCAGTCAAGAACCCCTTTGGGAGCCTGATAAAAGCTATAGGTCCTCATCCCAGAAAAGACAACCTGCACATACATAAAATTATAGGGGGTTAGTGGATCCTTGGTTAGGAATCTCCAATAAGTATATACACATATTTTTTTGAGATGGAGTTGCCCAGGTTGGAGTGCAGTGGTGTGAACGGCTCACTGCAACCTCCACCTCCTGGGTTCAGGCGATTCTCTTGCTTCAGCCTCCAGGGTAGCAGGGATTACAGGTGCCCGCCACCATGCCTGACTGATTTTTGTATTTTTAGTAGAGGCAGGATTTCACTGTGTTGGTCAGGCTGGTCTCAAACTCCTGACCTCAGGTGATCCGTCTGTCTTGGCCTCCCAAAGGGCTGGGATTACAGGTGTGAGCCACTGTGCCCGGCTGGGAATCTCCAGTATAAATCTTAACTCTGATTCAGCGAGACCTCCTCAACCCCTCCCTCCCTGCTCCCTCCTCTGCTCCACCCTACCTGAGCCTAGGGTCTCTAGGGAATTCCCTAAGGGTGTCAGTACTACTTTCAAATTAATTCATTGGAACTCAGTTCTTCAGTCTCAAATCTTAGAAAAGGCTTTTTTTTTTTTTTTGGGGGGGGGTGGGGGGGAAGGCGTTGTGGGGAAGCAAGGGATAATGTGTGTTCTCTGTAAACTAAAAATCACCATCCTTATTGCATTCCAGTACACACACAAATACATACTGCACATAGCCAAATTCCCAAGCAAGCAACACAGCTGCATTCTCACTTTATTTTATCAACAAATGTTAATTGAATGCCTATGTATTGATAATCTATCATAAACTTGGGAATCTACTAGACTCTGGAAATATAAAGGAAGCTATCACAAATGAATACAAAATGGTTCTTGCTTTCAGGTAACCATAATCAATGTCAAAGTTGACATGCAAATGAACAATTATGACACTAAGTGGTAGCATGCAGAAGGCAAGCACAAATGCTAAGAAAACACATATGTAGGCCGGGCCTAGTGGCTCAAGCCTGTAATCCCAGCACTTTGGGAGGCCGAGGCGGGCGGATCACGAGGTCAGGAGATCGAGACCATCCTGGCTAACATGGTGAAACCCCGTCTCTACTAAAACATACAAAAAACTAGCCGGGTGAGGTGGCGGGCGCCTGTAGTCCCAGCTACTCGGGAAGCTGAGGCAGGAGAATGGCATAAACCCGGCAGGCGGAGCTTGCAGTGAGCTGAGATCCGGCCACTGCACTCCAGCCTGGGCGACAGAGCAAGACTCTGTCACAAAAAAAAAAAAAAAAAAGAAAACACATATGTAATTTTATAGCCACATAGGTGTGGATCCTGTCCCTGTCCTTTTCCCATACATTCTCATGACAGACCCTTACAAGTAGACTAACCTACATCCATAGATCAGGAAAGTTGTACGTGTTCAAATTCAGTCTAGATTCCTCCCGTATGAACCGACCCCCAGCGCACATTCTCAAACACATCCTGAGGCCTTGTACACAAACACTTAATCCTTCACCTCTCCCAGACTTATGAGTGTAACACTAGAAATCAGAGACCCACAGAGCTTGAGGACCTTAGAGATAATCTTATCCAGCATCTTCAGTTTACAGACAACAGCACTGCAGCTCAGAATGGATAAACTGCTTGTCTAAAGCTGAAGTCTTTTTAATAGAACATTTCCTGTGGTTTTGATTAACCCCCTGTTCTCTAGTTTCCAGCATAGGGAGAGACATGCATGATTCTGGCTCTTGAAAAATTTCTCTTCACCAAGAAAGGTCCAAGTTCTGTACTGCTAACTCCAGGATAGGATTAAATCCCAGTGAGCCCAAAGGAGAATCAAATTTGGCCAGGAAGAGGCAGAGCAGACCTAACGCCTTCTCTGATAGATAGAGACACATCAGGGGTCAGAAACAAAACTTTCTCCAAACCAGAGATGCTGCTTAACTTCAAGACTCATAAAATGTCCAAACTGAAAGGGACTTTCAGGGCCACTTTGTCCAACCCTCTTACTTTATAGGTCCTAAAACATGCAGAAAACTGGAGGACTAGAACTGGAACTACAATGCTGGGACTAGATCCCAAGTTTCCTAAAACCATCCAGTGTTCTTTGTGCTGCTTGACATGGATCAAGCCTGTGGGACTTCCCCTGGCACCACATGGGTGGCCCAGAATCCAGCCAACAAGCTCCCCATTGCAGTCGCGATGAGATGAGGGCGAGAGTCCCACAAGTGCCCAGTGCAGTTAGAAAATTCCTCTAGGAGTGAGCCGTAATCTGGGGTTGGGAATGCCAGGGCCCCATGCCAGGAAGGCCCGGGAGCCCATGGCTTTGCTCTTCACCACCAGCCTGGCTTCCACAGGTCCTGCATGATCACATTGCCTACCGCTATGAGGTTCTGGAGATGATCGGGAAGGGGTCCTTTGGACAGGTGGCCAAGTGCTTGGATCACAAAAACAATGAGCTGGTGGCCCTGAAAATCATCAGGAACAAGAAGAGGTGTGGCTTGGGGGATGACATAGGCCACAGAAGAGGGACTGTGTGACTCTGGCCCCTGCAGAATGCCAGCCCTTCCTGACTCTGCCTCAGCCTCCGATCTTCCCTTTTGTTTTCCCTTTTCTCTTTCTACCTGTCTGATTCCATGAGGGGGCAAAGAGGAGGCGAGAGTATGGTGTTTTTAGTGCTTCCTGCCACTAGACAGTCTTGCTGGGGTCATGGGGAGGGGCTGACTGACTGCTGCAGTGGGACCTGACACTGATGTTTCTGTCCCCATTTCCCACCCTGCCTGCCACTCCCCATCCCCTCAGATTTCACCAGCAGGCCCTGGTGGAGCTGAAGATCCTGGAAGCTCTCAGAAAGAAGGACAAAGACAACACCTACAATGTGGTGCATATGAAGGACTTTTTCTACTTCCGCAATCACTTCTGCATCACCTTTGAGCTCCTGGGGTCAGCTGCCTTTTCTTCTTAACTCATTTCCTCTGGAAAAGTTACCTAAGTGATAGTGTTTGAGGTCAGAACACTAGATTTTTCTGGATGTGAATATTTAATAACTAGAATGTTCATGACAGTCACTTAGTTATCCAGAAGGCCCAGGAGCAAGGAGGCTGGGATGAAAGCAGACAATCTTGGTATGCCTGTCACCTGCCAGCCTCCCCGTGATGTACTTCCCTGGGGTGGGTACTGAGCCAGGTGACATGACCAAAACAAGGCCTCTTTCCTCAAGAGCTAAACCAAAATAGTCAAAAAGGACTTTTCTTTGTTTGCTATCATCTTCCCCGCTCGTGGGCTTTCCGGCCTGATCGTGCAGAGGCGGAGACCTAAAGGGACAGGGAGCTGGCTGCTTAGAGCGTGAAAAGGGTTTTGATTTTGAGTAAATAAGGACAAGAGCAGATATTTTTGGTAAGAGAGCAGAGCCTGACTTAAATAGATTGGCATGGCCTGGCTGAATATCGGAGCTGACGAGGCATGCCAATTGCAAAGGCATGCTAATTTGATGATTATTCTCTCTGGGAAGACCATCTGATGCAATTTATATAACACTAGAAACCCAGAATGCATTTAGCAAAGGAGAACAAGCAGGGCTGAGCTCTCAGAGTGTTACTGGATTCAGCAAGCTGGTAGCTCAGGGCTCCCAGGACACCACTGCTGATGGTGAAACTCTAGGAACCAGCTACATTTGAATTAGCAGGTAAGGTGACACTCTCCTCACCATTTCCGGTTATTCCCAAGCGTGGTCGAGTCTCTGATATGCAGAGGTAAATTATCTTCTCTGTGGCCAAATGGACAGCTCGGTCTACCTTTCTTGGCCATGAATCCCAGTGCACAGTTAGGATGTCATTGTGCTTAAAAGAGCTCTGGGAGGTCAGAGGGCCAGGGTGTGCAGGGGGATCCAAAGCTCAGAGAGATGAGGGAGTTGCCCAGGTGACTAGTCAGGATGGGGCCAGAGCCAAGTCTCACATCTCCATTGCAGCCCTCAAGAATGAATGGTGGCCAGTGTGATGGCTCACGCCTATATCCCAGCACTTTGGGAGGCTGAGGCGGGTGGATCACTTGAGGTCAGGAGTTCGAGACCAGCCTGGCCAACAGGGTGAAACCCCATCTCTACTAAAAACACATCTCTACTAAAAACCCCATCTCTACTAAAAATAGCTGGGCGTAGTGGTGTGTGATTGTAATCCCAGCTACTCGGAAGGCAGAGGGAGGAGAATCGCTTGAACGTAGGAGGCAGAGGTGGCAGTGAGCTGAGATTGTACCACTGCACTCCAGCCTGGGCAACAGTGCAAGACTCTGTCAAAAAAAAAAAAAAAAAAAAAAAATGAATGGCTCTGGCTGGGCGTGGTGACTCTCACCTGTAATCTCAGCATCTTGGGAGGCCAAGTTGGGAGGTCGCTTGAGTCCAAAAGTTTGAGACCATCGTGGACAACATAGCAAGACCCCATCTCTAAGAAAACATTAAGAATGAGTGACTTGCTAAATACTACCAAAGCTAGATGATCTTAGGAATGGAAGATGAGGAGGGACCAGCAGAAGGTTGCTGAAAACCATTTTGGGGTCATGCTCTTTCCCTTCCCTCCCCATCTCACAGCTTGCACAGAGGTTTCATCTGGCAGCTCACAAATAAATGTTTCTTCTTCAAATGCATTGTATTAATATTAGTTTCTAACATTCGTAAGTCTATAGATGTCATATCATACAGTAGGCTTCTGTCACCCTAGAGAATTTCAGATTCTCTGGCAAGAGCAAGCTTGCGCTTCTCAAGGGAACAGTTAGGTGAGACCAAACAGCCACACTTTGGGAGGAGCAGGGGCTCCCTCTGGCCTCAGCCCCCATCTGCCCACTCTCTTGTTCCTTACTTGTCAGGAACCTGATGTCCTCAGACAGCCCTCATTAGGCCTGGGCAGCAGTAGCTGCTTGTTTGAGTGACCGGTGGGTTTCCTGGGTCCCTCCCAAGGGCCTGAGGAACTATGACTGTTTCAGAAGTTTGGGCCAACCTTTTAACCCACCTGCATAACAAAGTGCTTCAGTGGCCTTGTCACATGGGAATCGAGGGGACATCTGAAAGTCTGACACGGTTTCACCCTGGGCCCACCATGATTCAGCGGGAAAGCTGAGTCTATAAGGGCATGAAAGCCCTGCCTCCTGGTCTGAGGCTTGCCTGCTACTAGAGGGAAACCAGGTGATACAAGATTGTTTGCAGGTTCAAATTCAGCCTTCTATATTTTTTTACACCCATAGGCTTCACTTTTCCCCTCTCTTTTCCAGAATCAACTTGTATGAGTTGATGAAGAATAACAACTTTCAAGGCTTCAGTCTGTCGATAGTTCGGCGTTTCACTCTCTCTGTTTTGAAGTGCTTGCAAATGCTTTCTGTAGAGAAAATCATTCACTGCGATCTCAAGCCCGTGAGTACCACCTCCATCCTGCCACGGAAACACTCTGGAAATACCCATTCTATTCCCTAGGCTGCGTAAGAATCACAAACTCCAATCAAAGTATTGCCTTTGACCTTTTTTTGTGTGTGTGTGCTCTTTTGTCATGGCAGTATGTATGTCAAGGGCGGCATTTAATGCGAATGTCAAACAAATTCAGTCAATGGCATTTCTAAGGCCATGCAAGCGAGGCCTAGAACCAGGTGCCAAAGAAGATAAAAACAAAGTCACAATCTTCAGGAGTTACAGAATCAATAGGGGGAAAGTGACAAAATATATGCAAAAGAAACTCTGCAAAGCACTGACTACGAGGTCCAAAAGAGAAATACCGACCACAAATCAACTGGGAAGTCAGAGGGGAGGATGATGGGATTTTGGAGAGGATGTGGGAGGAGGCCCATGGAGGTGGTCATATTTGAACTGGGCCCTGAAGGATGGGGAGCATTAAGGTAAGGAGAGGGCCTAGGGCAGCATTACTGTAGCTTGACATATGTCTTTTCTTCTCTCTAGGAAAATATAGTGCTGTACCAAAAGGGCCAAGTCTCTGTTAAAGTCATTGACTTTGGATCAAGCTGTTATGAACACCAGAAAGGTAGGCCCCATGCCAGTCCCGTCATCTGAGTTTTCCTATTGCAATTTCTCTCCCTTCACATACAAGGTCACACGGCTTCTAGCCTGGGCTCAGCTATCACCACTACCAGTCTGATTCTGAACAAGGTGCTTCACTTCTCTGAGCCCAAGTTTCCTCATCTATAAAATGAGAAAGTTGTATCCAAGTACTAAAAGGGTGCTTTCAAGCTCTCATATTCTGTGGATATGGAATTATCCAAGAACAGTGAGTCCCAAAACTAACTAAATGTGTATCTGAATTGCTTTGGGGCTCTGAAAAATGATAGTTTCCAGGGCCTCACACCGCAAGTTCCTAATCCAAATTTCTGGGAAGTAGCTAGGAGTCTGCACTTCAGAAACCATAGTCATTCTGAAGCTTGGAATTCGCTGCCCCAGATCCTTTAGGTTTTATACTTTTTCAAGCTAGGATTCAAAAAGTAGCTCTGGAGTACATTTTCACAGCGTTTACTGAACTTGATTCAATATTGTGTTCTTTTGGCTTCTATCAAGTTCGCTATAGACAACATGTACCCTTTAACAGACATTTATGATCTGTTTTGTGTCAGTCACTGTCCTGGGTACCAGGAACAAAAAATGAACATTCCCTGTCCTCAGGTTGCTTACGATCTAATGGAAGAGACAGAAAGATAAAAATAATATGGTGAATACAACGATTAGAGATGTACACAGGCTATGTTAAAGATACACAACAGAGGGACTTTGGGACCAGCCTTTAAGGTGACAAGGGCTGTCAGAGGAAGCTTCCTAAGGCTGAAGAAAGGATTACTAGATGGATGTTCCCAAATGTTAGGCAGATCAATTTTTTTTTTCAGGAAAAAACACTTACAAGTTTATTAATAAAGAATATGATAAAAGACACAGATGAGAGATACACAAGGCAAAATATTTGGAAGGGGTGTGAAGCTTCCATGCCCTCTTGGGGGCACGCCGCCCTCCCAACACCACATTTCCCATACCCTGGAAGCTCTCTGAATCCTGCAGCTCGGGGATTTTTATGAAGGCTTCATCACATAGTCATTGAGATTATTAACTCAATTTCTAGCCCTTTCCCCCTTCCTCCAACAAAGGAGTTAGAACTGAAAGTTCCAAGCTTCTAATCATGGCCTAGTCTTTCTGGCAAGCAGCCCCTATTCAGGAGTCCACCAAGCGTCATCTCATTAGAACAAAGAGAGTCCTATCACCTCAGAAGTTCCAAAGGATTAGGAACTCTATGTCAGAAGCCAGGACAAAAGGTCAATTATTAGAACAAGAGATACATGTAGAATCCCCATCACTCAAGAAATTAAAAAGGTTTTAGGAGCTCTGTGCCAAAACCTAGGGGTAGAGTCCTATATCTATTTCTTATTATTTCTCACACGTGCTCATATACAAGCAGGTATATTATTAATTTGAAGAAAAAAATAAGTTGATGCACCACATGCAGTGTTAGCTATTCACTCTCACACATTGTTGGAGGAACTATAAATTCATATTACCTTTTGGGAGGTTACTTTTGCATCTTTAACCAAACATTTCACTCTAAACCTTCAAAAATTATAAATTCCCCTCTGAAGAACCTGTCCTACAGATTACAGATGTTCCCATAGAATGTACATCTTCACTAATGCACTGTTAAGTAGTGCAACACTGGAACCAACCTAAACATCTACAAATGAAGAATGGTTTAATAAATTAACACTGTTATACCACGCAGCTATTTGAAAAGAGAGATTTAAATGTAATGGCCTAGAAAGATCTCCATGATGAAGTAAGTGAAAAAAACTGACTAATGAAACTTTTGACATGTAAATATATAAATAAGATGGAAAAGGATTTGCACCACACTGTTACAAGTGGTTACCACTGGAGATGAGCTTGGAAGAGCTTAGGGTTGAATTTTCAACTTTTACTTTACATATGTATCTTTTTTTTTAGTAAGGATATGGATGATTTTTAAAATTTTCTCTTGGATTTTCAATTTTTAAATTTTTTTTAAATTAAATAATTTGGTGTCTTTAATTTGCTAAAGATTTACATAAGATTTCTATATGTCTAGTCTTAAGTGAGACCAGTCCGTAGGGTTTTTTTCCGTGCGTGTGTGTATCTTTGTCCTGTTTGAATACCAAAGTTACGTCTTTAAAAAAATGAATTGACCTTTTCTATTTTCTGTTCCACCAAAGTCTGAAGAGAATGGGAATCATTTTCTTTTCACAAGGCCTCTTAGAACCTGCTTGGAAAGTCATCTGCATGTTGCATCTTTTGCAAGGGTAGTTCTTGAACCACTTTTCTACTTCTTTCATAGGCTGTTAGTCTGATATCCAGACTCCCTTCTGTAAATAAGTTCAGCTTTCGTATCTGTATGAACTTATTTTTCAGAGTTTTGCTTACTCTACTGTTCATGTCTTCAATGTGCTTTGCTTGCTGAATTCTCCTCATTTCTAAGACCTGCTCTCTTTTCTTTTGCAACCATGCTTTAAATACCATGTTGTTCTCCCTCTTTTTTTTTTCTTTCTCTTCTTCTATTTTCTGTTGCTCTTCCTTTCTTTTCAGCTTTTCTGTCTGTTGTTCTAGTTGTTTTTGTCGTTCTTTCTGTCAAGGGGAAAGACAGTATGTTGAGGTCACTGGTGAGATATGTGCAGACTGATTAGATTTCCCATTCCCTTTACTTCGATCTGAGTTAGACAAGTCTTGCAGTTGAGTGGTGGCTGAGGGATTTAAGCCAGCGGCTCTTCTGTTGATGAGTGAGTGACAGCATCAATCTTTCCTGCAGAATCTTCTTTCTTGATGCCACTGACACAGGAGATGGAAGATCTGGGTAACAACTGCTGAGGGTCATTTTCTGTACTGTTTCCATTATTATTGGGAGGCAAAAACCCCAGACTCTCAATGTCTTGTAAACTCAGAAGTTCAAATTTTCCATCTCTCTCCACCAGTATTGTCCTATCCTTGTTTATTTCACAGCTTCCATTAGTAAGTGACAGGAGCACATTTACTTGTCCCAAATATTTGGAAATACATAACTGTGACAGTTTCCCAAACATAATCCTTTCATTTTCAAAATAATTTTTGTAAGTATTAGTGTCTTTTAGTGGAGAAATTTCCAGATCAACTAATTTGTCCTTGAGCTTAAGTTTTTGCTCCCTCTTATCATTCACAGGTTCTTGATTCTGTAGAAGCTTGTTAGCTTGTACAACTTTCTCCACAATACATCTCCTTACTTTCTCATCCTCTTCCTCCTCCAAGTCTTTCTGCTTTCTAGTTTGGATTCCTGGAAAGAGTTTTCACTATCTGAATCTGATATGGGATCCAAAGGTTGAACGCTTGGAACAGAAATCAAGTCATTTCTTCTCGGTGGGACCTCAGCCTGCAAAGATTTGTCAGGATCAGAAAGCTGTTTGGTGTGTTCTATTACTGTTTCATTCTCTTTGAAGTCTTAGTTAATATTCTCTTCCTTCTCACAAGCCATCTCTATTATGCTGGCATCACTTTTTTCATTTTCATTAGTTAACCACTCCAGGTCCTTTTCAGAGTCACCTTTGTATTCTTTTCACTTTCTTTTGAATCAGTATCTTTATTTTCATTCATTTTGCTCTCTCCCACCATTAATATTTCCACTCCACATTGTCCTTCCCTTCTCTCCCTCTGTCTCCCTCCTGGCTGTGTAAAATGCGGTGGCTGGGGCCACGGAGATGGCTAGGGAGTTCTGCTCTCCTCCTCTTTCTTTCTTTTTTTTTTTTTTTTTTTGAGACGGAGTCTGGCTCTGTCGCCCAGGCTGGAGTGCAGTGGCCGGATCTCAGCTCACTGCAAGCTCCGCCTCCCGGGTTCACGCCATTCTCCTGCCTCAGCCTCCCGAGTAGCTGGGACTACAGGTGCCGCCACCATGCCCGGCTAGTTTTTTGTATTTCTTAATAGAGACGGGGTTTCACTGTGTTAGCCAGGATGGTCTCGATCTCCTGACCTCGTGATCCGCCCGTCTCGGCCTCCCAAAGTGCTGGGATTACAGGCTTGAGCCACCGCGCCCGGCCTCTCCTCCTCTTTCTAAGCTCTTCACATTGAGGCAAGGGAGACCCTGGCACTTGCCTCGGCAGCAGCCAGGACCACGCTGCCATGGCAACAGCATGCCACTGTGTCCTCCATCCAGGCCTCTCTCTGGCAGATCAATTTTTGAGGACATAAGACCTTTATGTCTCTTATGTATGAATCCTATGAGAAATTCCAGCTAAAAAATAATGCTTCCTACAAAGAACTTATATGTTTTCTCTTCTCAGATGTTGAAAGTTGTGTAACTTACCAGTTGTCATTTATCTTGGCTGCCAAGATGCTCAGAGCTGAATTTGTAATTATTTTATCCTTGATTTCTAGCAGTCATTTCCCCCTTTGCATATTTTCTGACTTCTTTTTTTATCTTTATTTTAACTGTGAGGCAGTATCTAGTATTGATACTAGAACTGGACTGCCTACTCTCAAATCCCAGCTCTGTCAGTTATAGCTGAGTAACCTTGACATTTTAACCTCTGTATGCCTCAGTTTTCTCTTCTTTAAATTGGAGGCAATAATACTACTTGCTTCACAGAATTAATGTAAGAGTTGAAAGGGCTTATCTATAAAAGTACTTGGAATTGTGCCTGGTACATACTAAACATAATGTAGTAAATACCATTAAATCCGTGTTCTAAAATACTCTGTGCATATGTACTTTGCAAAGTACCACAAATACATTTGGGAAGCAGGCAGGATATAAACATTATTTTTATTAAATCTCTATTTTGTTTTAAATCACAGAATTATGTTCTGACAATAACCAATTTAAACAACAGAAAAGTGGTTACAGAATCCCTGCTCCTCCCCAGGTAACCAGCAACCCCAGTTATGTGGAAATAACTACCGTGTTCCATTTCTTCGACTTCAGTCTGTTCATCCTCATCCGTTGAGATTTTTCTTTCTCTACAACAAGTGCACATACTATATTGAATATACACTTTGCACGCTCCCTTTCTAACTTGATATGCCTCTTCCCTTGCCAAGTCACAAGGCTCAGAAGCCGTCTACCCCAAATTAATCTGACCGTTTGAAAACTTAGTCTTATGTTTTGTTTGTTTGTCATAAACTTGGCTGACTGAAATTCACTTTCCTACAACAATGCCTAATAATGTTGGAGTTCGTTATCAATAAAGCAGGGACAATAACACCTCCTTGAGAATCAGATTGCTGTGGGATTTGATGCTGTTATGTGTAATGAGAGTTCTGAGTGCTGGCCAGCTGCACTTCCCTTTCCCCGCCAGCGGGGGCGCAGTCGAACTGAGAAGGTGTCCTGGGGGAGAACATTCTGGAGAGTAGGAAGGTTTTCCCATCTGGTTTTTCTCACTTTGCCTCCGCAGTATACACGTACATCCAAAGCCGGTTCTACCGATCCCCAGAAGTGATCCTGGGCCACCCGTACGACATGGCCATTGACATGTGGAGCCTGGGCTGCATCATGGCGGAGTTGTACACGGGCTACCCCCTGTTCCCCGGGGAGAATGAGGTGGAGCAGCTGGCCTGCATCATGGAGGTACGGGGAGGGCTGGCGGTCGGCTCCCACGGAGACCATGGGCTTGGCCCTCAGGCACTGGGCTGCATCAGACTCTCCCAGGGCCATGGCCTGCATCCTTTGTGTTGTGGGTACTTCCTAAAAGTAGTTTTGACATTGTGTACTCCCTTGTACTTGTCAAGTCGACATCTAACATTTTTATCATAACTTTAAATAGTTGCAGAGGATGTCATTTCCATCATATTGTAAATAGTGACGTTTTAAAATAAAACTGTTACACCACTCTTTCAAAAATATCGAAAAGAATACAAAGCCAGACTGACATGACACCCATTAAAATCCATCTGAAAGGATGTGAACAAGTTCTCAAGAGTTGTGCATTTGTTTTACTTTGTTCTTTTTTGCTTTTTGTTTCTACTCTTTCTTCTACTTCCTCCACGGAATTTTATTCTAATTTAATATACGTTTATGTTTAGAAACTTCTGTCAATCATTATAGCTTTAAACGTTTCCTGATACCATAAGCTTCATGTGTAAAAATTTCTTTTTGGTAAGTTACCATTAAAATATATCTGGTGTGCAAATTTTGATAATGATTGAAAATAAAATGTGAAATCTTATTGGGTGTACAGCTCTTAGAAAAATGAATAGAGCTGGGTTTTTTTTTTTTTTTTGAGACGGAGTCTTGCTCTGTCGGCCAAGCTGGAGTGCGGTGGCTCGATCCTGGCTCACTGCAAGCTCCGCCTCCTGGGTTCACGCCATTCTCCTGCCCCAGCCTCCCGAGTAGCTGGGACTACAGGCGCCCGCCACCTCGCCCGGCTCATTTTTTGTATTTTTAGTAGAGACAGGGTTTCACCGTGGTCTCGATCTCCTGACCTTGTGATTCGCCTGCCTCGGCCTCCCAAAGTGCTGGGATTACAGGCGTGAGCCACCGCACCCGGCCGGGTTTTCTTTTTCCAGTTAATGCCTATACCCATGGGTGAATAATGCTTCTTGCTAGAATGCCAGGGCTCAGGATTAATGTGATTCCAATTGCTTGGTGGTGTAGATGTGAACCCAGTGAGGAAGCCTGTTCTAATTAATGTCGTCTAATTCGGTGACTCCTTTTGAGTTCTGTGTAAGACTCAAATGGTGATCTGTCGTCTAAAATTATGTTTACCAACCTGTCAGCTGACACCCCGATTAAAATGTTGAAAACAAGAATTGGAAATTATTTGACTTCAAAATATGTGTATTGTTCAGGCATTAGTCATTCATTATGGGAAATGACAGTTTTCTGGGAAAACTATCTGCCTATAGCAAGGCTTTACCAAGACTCTTTATATGATTATTAATTATATCTATTATGCTTTCACTTGAAAGTCATCTTGTTATGGAACTAAATTAGACAAAATAGAAAAATAACCTTAAAAATTTAAAATTTTACATTTAAGGATTTTCCCAGTGAACAAAGATATTTTGTGTGCAAACACCAAGCTAGCTGGCTGGTTGGCTGGCTGGCTATCTGTCTATATGTATGTATGTATGTATGTATGTATGTCTGTCTGTCTATCTATCTATCTATCTATCTATCTATCTATGTATCTATCTGTATCTTTGCCAAATTTCTGTTTTCCAGATTGTCTCAAAGTTACAGATAGAGAAACACACATAGCCTTGAGAATGACTAAACATAGATAATTTCATTTCATGATTGAAACTAATAATAAAATATTAAAATAAGTTAGGTAAAAATAGCTGCGGTGGAATGAAAACTGGCCTGCGAGTCATTAAACCTGGGGTCTTAGTCCTGGCTCTTTTTGCCTAGTCATTTCCCGGCTCTGGACTATAAAATGAGGGGAGCAGAGTAGATGGCTTCTAAGGTTGATAATGTATGATTTTATAAAGCATTCCCAGGCCGCTCCTGCTTCCATTACCAAAGAGAATGGGGCCTATGTTTCAACTTTCTTACAGCCCCAGAACTGACTCGGCTTCCTCTTGACCTCAGTGTCAAAGGGTCTGAGGAACAGAAGAGCAGGATAATGCATGGATTATGACTGGGAACCGAGCCGCAAGGGTAGGTTACCCACACTGTAATTTCCTTATCTCAGTGTGCCCCTCCAAGTTGCAGTAGGAAAAGATGAACAAGTAGGTGCTACACTTTTCTTTTCAAGAAGGTATTTTCTCCTGTAATTGTCTGATGCTCATCCGGTGATTTTCATCTTCTTTTCTTCTCCCTTTCCAGTGCTCCGTGGTGGGATATATCATTCTTTAATTCCAACATGGCAGCACGTATACTAGTTTATTTGACATCTGGCTGCTATCAAGAGTGATGGCTCACCCCTAGTTGGTGCTGATGTTTGTGTAGAATAACATGGCCAGTGTTGATTCTTAGGATATGAAACCAGCCCTGGATTAGGAGTTAAGAGGCTCAGGCTCTGGGTTTGCTCTGCTACTGACCTGATGTTATTACTTAATGCTTTGGATCTTTATCTGTAGAAGGCAAAGCTTGGCCAAAGTACGCCCCACCCCTCAGCCTTTGAATCTGTGATCCCACAAAGAGTGAACCAATTCAATTATCCTTATTAAGGTGCTGGGTCTGCCGCCAGCCGGCTTCATTGAGACGGCCTCCAGGAGACAGACGTTCTTTGGTAAGTGTGTCTAGTGTGTCTAATGAGGTGTCACAGGCCTTGAAGATACCTACTGTACCTTAAGGCTCATTTCATTCTTTTCCCCTGGCCACATACCAAAGGGCTGTGATTAAGAGCTTCTTTCAGAGAAGATAATGAGCAGGGAAACCAGATAGCATGATGGAGATGGGATGGGGCAGTCACAGTGCGAATGGGGTCTTGACAGTAAAAATGTTCAGGAGCAGGAGAATGGCCAGGTCCCTGCTCAGAAGAGCTATCAGCAAATACTGCAACCTCAAAATATTGTAACTGCATCCTCTCCTGGAGGTTCTCCCCACTCTCCCAAGCAACTTGCCCTCTCACACTATGCACTGTGCAGGGAAATCAAAGAGCAGAAGCCTCATTTCCAGAATAGTGGAAAATTCCATTGCTGCAATCTTGTTTCCCCTGCTAGAATTCTTCTTATCCTCCAGACCCTACTGTGCCAGGTTCATTGCAACAGTTAAGCAAGGACTTAGTTTTGCTTTGATGCGTTGTGGCTGGTAGTTATGTATGTGTCATCTGTCTGATTGTTGGGAGTAAACTTCGTCCACAGTCCTGGCTGCCCCTCTCCTCATAATTTCCAGAATTCTGAATTTTTACGATCCTCTGCCTTTCTATTTAAGTGGTCCTATACAAGATGGAAGGATGGGTCCACAAGGCATCAACTGAGGCAGGGCTTTCAATGCACATGCACCAAAAAGATGCAGCAAGTCCCAGACCTAAAATCCCTTTAAAGAACCACAGGAAGCTCAGAGTCCCAGATAGAAACAGCCAGAGTGGCCTGAAGGTCAGCAAAGTGGAGCAAAGCCAAAGAGAAGGAAAAGGGAACTCCATAGACAGGGACTCCATGCTACCTGGAGTGACATTTCTCACCAGCCATGGTTATCAGGTCGGTTCATGGACTCCCTCTGACTATACAATCCCAGACATTCCTGGCCCTCCCACCTCCGATTTTCAACTGCGAGCAACCTCTGAATGTGTATGCAAATTTCTGTTCACAACTTGCCCCATCAGTAGGAAGGTCCAGAACACTGTCGTGGGGAGATCCTTTAGGATAAAAGGATTTGGGTCATGCTGGCCAGTATGAACTGATTCAGCCATGTGGGGGTTGTAATTTGTCTATTTCTGTACCATTTGGTAAAAAGCCACATGGTACAGAGCCCTGCCACAACTGCAGGCTCCCTGGCCCTCTCCCAGGACTCCTTAAACTCTCCATGATCCAAAAACCTAACAGCTGAAGGCCAAGCAAGCAGAGGTGCTCTATGATCCTACTCCAGTGCCAGGGCTGTCTTCCATTCTGATTAGTCGGTTCCACCGATTAGTCGGTGCCATTGATTCCAATGGTTAATTCTTTGAAACACCTTGTATCATGGCTGGAGCTTTGGAGACCTTGCCTCTGAGCAGGGCAGTGTCCTGGTTGCCATAGAATGGTGCCCACACATTAAAACAAGCAATCTGGCGGTCGGCCGAGGATCTGGCTGGCTCCCCAGTATAACTTACACATGGACCAAGAGAACTGGTCTTTGGATCCCAAATATACTTTTTCTACCCACAACTTAATAATTCAGCCTTTCAGATTAGGCAGAGTCATTGTGGGAAGATACATCTTGAGCCTGGAACACTGAATTCATGAGATAGCATCCAGGTAGGGACTAGCAGGAGGGGAACATAGAGCGCCTTCGTAGGAACGTGCTAAAGACATAGGCACGCCCACTTCATAGCGTTCCTTATTTCAACCACTAGCACTAGGCGCTAGGATGGTGACAGGATTTTGGCAGCAACATCCATGTCTTCGCTTCCTGTGAAAGAAGGAATGTTGCTGAGAACTGCATCTCCGTCAGTGTTTTCCAAACTCTATCCAAATGTAAGAATCATGTGGGGACTTGGCAGAAAAGCTAATTCCTATGATTCTCTTCTATAAGCTATGGGAAGATTGAGATAGGACCCAGGATTCGACGTTTTTAATGACAGCTCCTTGTGATTCTCATGACAAGATGAATTTGGGAAACACTGTTGTTCAGTCCTTGACTCCCTTTCCCAGGTTTGGGCTGCCAACAGCTCCTCAGCCCCTGGCAACTCCTAGTTAATACCTGCAATTAGCAGCAAAATGGTGTTGTCTCAAGGCTGGTAAGATAATATACTTAGGTGGCCTAGGTGGCTCAGGCAGTAGGAAGGGAATGGAGGGAATGATTAATGAGGGCCAGAGTGAGAAAAGCTTGTACAAGAAAACACTTACATGATCATGACTTTAGGAGCTTTGTTATTTATAAGACTGTGAGCTTGATTCTTCTTTGGTCATTGGTAAAAAGGCAAGGTAGGATGAAGTGGGAGGGCTGAGGCCATGATCCAAAAGGAAATGGATCTTTGTACAATTTCACAGGACCTTGTCACTTAAGATTTACTTTACCATTGTTATTATTATCAGTAGCATTATTATTTTATCTTGGTGTTAAACCATTTAAATTATTTCTTTGCTTTGGAGAGGAAGTAGTGGGAAGGAAGTTCAGAACATACTGAATAGTAGGAAAAAATCAATTATTAAAGTAAATTGTATTCCTTGGGTAATCTACACATGGTTATTTCAAACTGTGTGTGTGTGTGTGTTTATTGGGGTGTGGCATGAGGCGAGTGTGTAAGACAGAGAGCAAAAGAGCTACAGAGGCCACTCTAAGAAGCAGCATGATGTGACCAGTAAATATTTACATCTGAAACTAAAGACAGAATGTTGTATCTCTACAGATTCCAAAGGTTTTCCTAAAAATATAACCAACAACAGGGGGAAGAAAAGATACCCAGACTCCAAGGACCTCACGATGGTGCTGAAAACCTATGACACCAGCTTCCTGGACTTTCTCAGAAGGTGTTTGGTGTGAGTTTGTTGGGATCTCTCTGCCTCTGGGTTTCCTCTAAAATGCTGTACTTTGACACACGTTCGCTGGTGAAAGTCTAAGGCTGGGAGATAGTTATGAAAGTAACGAGAAATGCTAACAATAGAGCTTTAAAGTCTACAAATTGCTTCCACATCTGTTGTCTCATCAGACATCTCTCTCTCCCCACTGTGTGGTTGTCAGGGCGGATGATTTGTTCTGTTTTACATGTATGGAGGTTGGGATTCAAAGAGATTAAGAGACCTGCCCAGGAATACACAGTGTATGGTAGAGTTTGTCATCTTCCTGGCCTCACACTGCCTGACAGTGAGATGGTAGGCCAGTCCTAAATTTCTTCTGCTCTGTGAGCTGAAGCCAACCTGCTGAGTGCTTGTTGTAATGATTTGCATACACATCCAGTTTAAACTGGTTTCAGGGCCTGTCCCCATCCCCCTATGATTTAGTACCCAAATCCTCTTATATTAGGGAATTAGGGGAAGGGTGAGCTGTAAACCATTTATTATGTACAACTTTTTACAATCTATATGCATATTTTGAATCTTAGAAATTAGGTCTGCACTTAAGTCATAGTACCCAGTACAGTGCCCAGTTTAAAAGGTGTTTAAAACGTTAGCTATTCTTATTATTTTACGACTATTAAAGAGGTAAATCTAGCTCCACAGAGTGGCGAGTAGATTATCCATGTGATACTTGGCAAGTCATCACTTTTGTCTGGGCCTCAGTGTTCTTTCCTATACAATAGGGTATTCCTAAGCTCCCTTCCAGTTCCATCAGTCCTATAATTTAGTATTTTTAGAAGACCATATCATTACAGTCTCTTATTCTTCCAGATGGATGGAGTAGTGTTAAGAAAATACTCTTCTGGCATCTGTGCACTCTGGAATTTCGGTAGTAGCTCAGAGGGTGAACCATGAGGTAGTGATGAAAGCATTCCCATCGTAGGGGGTCATGCTATTCGCTCATCAGAATAATCAAGGTAGAGAAGGATCCTGTACCCCATCTTTACCCCTACCTTAACAAATCACAGAAACCAACTGCTGAGACAGATGGGTTATCTAGAAACCTCGACCATCCAGAACACAGCTTAGCACCAAGGAAGACATTATTTTCTCTTTAGTGCAAAGGACGGATTACTCATAACTTGCAAGAGGCAGTCGGGCTGATGGGGACTGTTACCTTATATATATATTGCTAATCAGCAAATCTTTGGAATGAGAGACTACAAGTTTTGAGCCAAGTTCAATAGGCATAAATGTAAAGCCCTGTGTCTAGACGTTGTAGGCTAACTCCAAAAGTCCAGCAAAGGAGAGATGTTGTTTAACAGCAGTTCATTTGACACAGAAATGAGAGTTTGAGCTGTTTTAGGATCTTGATGAGTCTAGAATGCTAATACTGTCTTCCCTGCAGTTATAGAAGCTATTCCCACCATGATGGACATCAGTTAGACAACTGCTAAAATGTCCTTATTTCATGAAGGTGGCCAGATGGTGAAAACCGTGTCATATGATTATCAGTTAGTAGCAATGTAAATATTTTCAGATGGTTGAAGGACTGAACCATAAAAGGATTATTTTGTATGATGGTAATGGGTTGATGAATTAGGACCTAGGTAAAAGTTACTGGGAAGCAAACCAGTTTCGGCACAATAAAAATCAAGAACTTTTAAAGAATCAGAGTTTTTCAAAATTGGAATAGATGGTTCTGTGAGTTAATGTCTTGTCACTGAAATTACTCAAGAAATTGCGGGGTGATTCCATGATGGTAATTCGGTCAATGTATTCTGCTACTGAATTACAAGTTTGATTGGATTATATCCAAGTCCCCTTGCAAATCTTAATATTCTAGAATTCTGTAAATCTCCTTGCGATATTTTTGAAGCCCCAGTTCTGTAGTCTGGAAATTCAAATCTCCGTTTTTAATATTGTTAGCTTAGTAAACCCTAAATCCTATTGATTAAGCTTTTGTAAAATAATATTTCTTATAAGGAAATTTCTAGGAATGCTGGAAGACTTGGACTGTAATATATATTCCCTGGCTTGTTATACACATCTTCTAGAAAGATTATTTCCAATAGTTGTTTCCAGGTACTTTTAAGTTATATGCCATAATTTCTGTTCTGTGATGATATATCTTTGAGATAACAACATAGCTTAAATAAAAATCTTTATTGGGTTTAAAAAATGTTTTAATATGTTAAAAGGAAGTAAAATAATAACCCATGCGGGGCTTTGTTGGGGTGCAGATGGGAACCTTCTCTTCGCATGACCCCGGACCAGGCCCTCAAGCATGCTTGGATTCATCAGTCTCGGAACCTCAAGCCACAGCCCAAGCCCCAGACCCTGAGGAAATCCAGTTCCTTTTTCCCTTCTGAGACAAGGAAGGACAAGGTTCAAGGCTGTCATCACTCGAGCAAAAGAGGTACAGCCTGTCAACCAGTCCTATTCCCACAGTCCAGGAAGCCAAGCATTTCTGAAGGATTTGCATGTCAATTTCTGTAACCTCACCCTGGGGTAATTCTTGTGGCTACGTCATGACTATCCTGCTATTTCTTACCTTTGGGATTTTCCTTTTCCGGGAAATTTGGCATTAGCCTGGAGCTTTTTTGCCCCTCGTTAGGATTTTCCATTTTTCTCCTATAATCAATTTCCTTTCTTCTATAATCAATTTCCTTTCTCCTCCTCCCCTTTTCATTAAATGCGTCCACCCCTTTATGCCCTATAATTACCTTTAGAATTTCTGTCAGTGCCAGATTATGGCATTATGCAAATTTTTATATGCAATATAGTCTAGTGGTTAGCTAGATGGTCCTAAGAGTCAGGTTACCTGGGGATTAAATTCTGGTTCTACCACTTATCAGGTGTGGACTTAACCTCTCTGTAGCTCAGTATCTCCATTTATGAGAATGAGAATCATGCCTATTCTCCAGGGTTGCTGAAATGATCAGATGAATTAGTGAACGTACAGTGCTTAGAATAATGTCTGGAACGTTGAATGTGCTTTGCAAATGAACTGGTTTTGTATCGTCACAGTCATGGTTTCCGCTAAGTGATGTACAACCTAAAGGACAATTAACATATAATCCACACTTGAATCTTGTTCCCTTCTGTCTTCTCTCTCCTTTAGCAGATGAGATCACCAATGAGACTACTGAGAAAACAAAAGATGGCTCCACGAAGCATGTTCAGCCTTCAGGGGATCAGCAGGACTCTCTCCAGCACAGAGCTGACACTGTTCAGCTGCCTCAACTGGTAGAAGCCCCCAAGAAGTCAGAGGCACCTGTTGGGGCAGAGGTGTCCACGACCTCCCCGGGACAGAGCAAAAACTTCTCCCTCAAGAACACAAACATTTTACCCCCTATTGTATGACCTTTGCTGAGGGTATGTCCTGCTCCTTTCCACCAGTGATTTGTATTAAGACAGCACTTATATTGTACAATACTTCAGACTGTTTTTTTTAAATACATAAAAGTTTATTTTTAAAAAACTCTATTAATATGGCCAATTGGCATGATTCCTCTTATGAGGGATGGGGAAGGATGTCCTTGCACTTAAATTCATTCCGTATGTGTTTGTGTGTGTATAGGGGGCAGGTAGTTTTTAACTCTCAATGTTGTAGCATCATTAAGGGAACTCTTACACAAAAGAAAATTTTTTTTCTTCTTGCCCATGACTGCCAACCTATGTCAAGATTTTTGTTTGAAAAATGATAGAAGCTGAATTCAGAAGTAGTTTAAACAGCCGAAGACATTTATTGACTTATATAACTGGGGAATCAGAAAGGGTAGATGTAGTTTCAGTCACAGCAGGAGTCAGGAATTCAGATGAGGTTGTAGGGCTCAGACTCCCTCTTCATCTATTAGCCTTGTTTCTCTCTATGGTTAACTTCATCCTGATGACAGGCCCTGCTCAGAAGTTAACCACCAATATCCAGTCAAAAGATACCGGCTTCGTTGCTAAGAGGGAGTCTCCAAAATGATTGTGACACAGAAACTGTGACTGGGAGACCGGGATGCTTGGCCAGTCTGGGTCCCAAGCCCACAGTGATGGTGAAGGCGCTGTGACTGATGCTTCTTTAGACTAGAGCAAGGGATGGAAGGTTTCCCAAAGGAAGGGAAGCTGGGTAAACAAGCAGGACATGTTCACTCATCTATCATATGCCACCTCTAAGTATGTCTTCTTACTTCCCTTTCTAATCCTCATCTATACAAATACATGATTTTTTTATGTGGTTATCATAGGACAGATAGTATTTTACATGAAACTTAAGATCATAACATCAGAAACATAGAATATATAAAAATAATTTTTTTACTTGGCATTTGGAATAACCTCCCCCAATATAGTTTTCATTTTAATAGTTGCATAATATTTTATGAAGGGGGACACCAGATCATTGAAGCAATGGATTTTGATGTAATCTCCCAGGGAAGATCTTGAGTTAGAATAGCAGAGGGTTGAGAGAAAATCCTAGGAAAGATAAATATATAAGGAGTTGCCAGAGTTGAGGAGGTCCCCCAAGAGACCCAGAGATATAGAAAGAAAATTAGAAGCCAATGGAGAAGTTTCTAAATGGAAAGAAGAGTCAAGAATAGAAAATTTCCACAGAAAATTCAGGAAAAGAATAGAAAATATTCCTTAAGTGGGGCGATATGGACATTAAGTCAGAGCAGTGTTAGAACAGGTAACTTATCCCAGTTTCTATAGCCCGAAAACCACCAAACCAGCGATAGAACTCAGATCCTTGGGAGCATTCTTGACACGATCTTCAACTATGGATGAAGTTGGAGGTGGACATTTGTTCTGCAGCTCTGCAGAGAATTAGAAGCCAAGTCTTCAACATTGTAATCAGGATGATTTTGATTGAATATTAGAAAGTATCTTCTGATTTTCATGGTTATAAAAGGTTAAAATGAATTCTTGATAAACTGTGGCTTATTTTAAGAGAATAGTCTAAATATGGAAGCTGCAAATTGTGACACAGACAGGGGACAGGCTGAGTGACCTTCAGCAGGGCCTCTCAGTCCAGCTCTGTTGTACCTTTACCATTCATCTGGTTATTTTTTTCACTCCTCGGATTTCTTTACCTGATTGTACCATTGGATCCCAAGGAAATAAAACATGTGGAGCCCTTTAATTGTAATTTTTTAATTTTATGTCCTTGCTCGCATGGACAGGAAAATCTGCAAAATTCAGTGACTAGCATAAGGTGACATGACTTTGATGAGAGTGGTATGAAGATAATGTTAGGGCTCTGTGAGGATATAGAGGGGGAGATGTGGAAGTGAGAAAGAAGGGCGGGGATAAGGGCCGGGCCCACTGCCGGAAGAGGGGAAAGCAGTGGGGTTGCCGATCACAGGTTCACCATCAGCCAGTCCAGCAGCTGCAGGGGTGTGACATTCCCCACCGCCTCATTCAGCTGGCGCTCCTTCTCATAGCGCAGCACCGACTGCAGAACCTCGCCCACGCTGCATCCTTTGTCCACAGCAGCAGCTGAGAGCTGAAGTAGCTGTGAAAGGAAAGAAAACACTAGTGGCGAGGCACGGCATCTCATGGCAGGCCAGATGGAGCCTGCCAAGGCTAGAGCAGAGAGGCCAGGCAGACCTCAGGAAACTGCAACACAGACGTTAAAGTTTGTTGGCCTGTTTAACAGAAGGAGGTTGGTGACGTCATTCTTAGTTTAGAGAAGAGATGTTAACATCCACCTGCCCGTGATCTTGTTCTCTAAGAATTCTAAGGTTCTAAGCTCACCCTAATATCATAAAAGTCTCCATCATTGTCCTAAGACCAAAAGGGCAGATGGAAGATACCCAGTGGACAAACGTGGATGCTGCTTTCCATGCCCCATAGACCACAGAATCCTAAAATGTTAGAGCAAAAAGGCACCTCAGAGAACAATTCAACCCTCACGAAAATGTTTCCCAGAGAAGTACAGAGATTTGTCAGAATTAACTGCTAGTAATTAGCAGAACCAAAATTCATTGCAGGTATTGGATCCTATCTTTAGCTCTTTTTTCAAGTACAAAATGAGAAAAGTTAGTTAAGCAACCATTCTAATATAAATACAATGCTGTCATTTATCTGGAATCCTAAGGGCAACAAACTTTCAAGTAATAAGATTTTTATTTTGTTCATTTTGCTCTTGACTTTTTACGACAAAGGGCAGGCAAATAAACAGACCAAATATTGAGAGCATCTTCAGAAAGATAAATATCCATGTGAGAAACTGAAATAGAAGAACCAAATGGAAATTTTAGAACTAAAATTTACCTACAAAATATAAAATAAAAATGTATCAGGTGGGCTAAATAGCAGAATGTAAATGAGAGAGGAAAGTCAGTAAACTTGAAGGTAGATCAATAGAAATTATCCATGCTGAACAACGTACAAGATTGATTAAGCTTATTTCAAAAAACATTTAAAAAATAAACAGAGCCCAAGGACTTGTGGGCAATACCAAAAGCTTTAACATTTATGTTATTAGAATACCAAAGGAGAAGAGAAAAGTGATGATGCAAAACATATTTGAAGAAATAATGGATGAAAGTATTCCTAATTTGCCAAAAAGTTTTAAACCTATACATTCAAAAAGCTCAGGGTACCTAAAATAAAACAAACCCAAACCCAAAGAAATTAACTCCAAGACCTACCATAACTAAATCACTGAAAATTAAAGAAAAAGAAAAAAATCCTAAAAGCATCCAGGGAAAACCATTTATAGGGGAACTGCAAGTCAAATGACAGCCAATTTCTCATCAGAAACCATAGAGGACAGAAGAAAATGGCACGTCTTTTAACTGCTAAGAGAAAATAACTTGCCAAATTAGAATTCTATATCTAGCAGAAATTATAACTCAAGAATGAAAGTCAACTAAAGACATTGCCAGATTAAATAAAACTGAGAGAATTCATTGCCAGAAAATGTGTTCTGAAAGAATTGCTAAAGGAAGTTCTTCAGAGAGAAGGACAATGATACCACAAGGAAACTGGGAATATTAAGAATGAATGAAGAGCGAGCTTTCAGTATAAATAGTAGGCTATCCTCTTCAGTTCTTTAAAATGTTTTAAGGGTCAGGAGCAGTGGCTCATGCCTGTAATCCCAGCACTTTGGGAGGCTGAGGCAGGAGGATCACTTGAGGTCAGGAGTTTGAGACCAGCCTGGCCAACATGGCAAAAATCTGTCTCTACTAAAAATACAAAAATAGCTGGGCATTATGGCATGTGCCTGTAATCCAGCTACTCGGGAGGCTGAGGCAAGAGAATTGCTTGAACTCAGGAGGCAGACGTTGCAATGAGCCGAGATCAGGCCACTGCACTCCAGCCTGGGCAACAGAGTGAGATTCTGTCTTAAAAAAAAATATTTTAAGGTTGGAAGCAAAAGTAACTGAGGGTTTTTTCAAAGTATGTAGATTAAATACATAAAGCAACTCAACTATAAAGGGAGAAGGATAAAGGAAACTTATATGGTAGTAATATTTCTACATTCCAGCTTAAGTGATAAACTATTGATGCTACATGGATTCTGAGAAGTTGGTATGTATATTATAATCCCTAGATTAACCACTAAAAAAACTACACAAAAAGATATAGTCAAATATGCAATAGATAAATTAAAATGGAATACTAAAACATGTTCAAATAGTCCAAGAGAAGGCAGCAAAGGGAAAACAAGGAGAAAAAAGAGAGAAGCAACAAATAACAAAATGGTAAACTTAAATCCAAACATATCCATAAATTGGGCTAAATGTAAATGGTCTAAACATATCAAATGTCAGAATGGACAAAAAATATAACCCAAGTGTATGCTGCCTACAAAAACCTTACTTCATATATAATAAGTTAAAATTATAGGAAAAGATGTACCATGAAAATGCCAATCAAAAGAAGACTCGAATCTAACATTAATGGTCAATAGGATTTTTCAACAAAGAAGATGGATAATTCAGAGGGGCCAGATACCCAGTGGTCTTTTCAACAAATGGTGCCAAGATAACCTTCATATCTACATGCAAAATATTGAATTTGGACTCCTACCTCACAAAAATTAACTCAAAGTAGATCATAGACCTAAATATAAGAGCTAAAATTATCAAACAAGTAGACAAAAACAAGGAGAAAATCTTCATGGCCTTGCATAGGTCAAGGTTACTAGCTCTCAGCACTCCTGGCCTTCCGGGTTTGTTGTGGGGCTATTTTGCTCATTGCATGTGGTTTAGCAGTATCCTTGGCCTCTACCTGTTTGACTCCAGTGGTAATCCCTTTCTCTGTTGTGACAACCAAATACGTCTCCAGACATTGCCAAATGTCCCCTGGGGGGCAAAATTGCTCCTGGTTGAGAACCACTGGGTAGGCAAAAATTTGTTAGGACACTAAAATCACAAGACATAAAAGTAAAAAATGATAAATTGGATGTCATCTAATTAGACTTCATTTTGCTCTTCAAAAGACTCCATTAAATAAAAAGTTAAGCCACAAACTGGGAGAAAATATTTGCAAAAATATATCAGATACAGGACTTGTATCCGGCATATATAAAAGAGCTCTTATAATTCTAATCAAGAAGAAAACAATCCAACCAAATTATGGGTGAAAGAATTGCACAGATATCTCACTAAAAGAATATATATGAATGGCTAATGAGCACATAATAGAATAACGTGCTCAATATTTTTCATTTTAATGTATGTTTGCCGAACGAAATCCACAATGAGATACCACTATAATTATTACAATAAATGAAAGAATAATACTGACCAGCATGTGGAGAAACTGAAACCTGTGTAAATTACTGGTGAAAATGTAAAATGCTACAGCCACTTCAGGAAATAGTTTGGCAATTTCTTAAGAAATTACACTTAACCGGTCGGGTGTGGTGGCTCATGCCTGTTTTCCTGGCACTTTGGGAGGCCGAGGTGTTCAGATCACTTGAGCCCTGGAGTTCCAGACCAGCCTGGGCAACATGACAAGACCCTGTCTCTACAAAAAAGTACAACAATTAACTGGGTGTGGTGGGGGGTGCCTGTAGTCCCAGCTACTCGGGAGGCTGAGGTGGGAGGATCACTTAAGCCTAGGGAGTTGGAGGCTGCAGTGACTATGATTATGCCACCGCACTCCAGCCTAGGCAAGAGAGGGGGGAAAGGCCGGGCGCGGTGGCTCAAGCCTGTAATCCCAGCACTTAGGGAGACCGAGAAGGGCGGATCACGAGGTCAGGAGATCGAGACCATCCTGGCTAACACGGTGAAACCCTGTCTCTACTAAAAAATACAAAAAAACTAGCCAGGCGAGGTGGCGGGCGCCTGTAGTCCCAGCTACTCGGAGGCTGAGGCAGGAGAATGGCGGGAACCTGGGAGGCGGAGCTTGCAGTGAGCTGAGATCACGCCACTGCACTCCAGCCTGGGCGACAGAACGAAATAAATTACATTTATTGAATGACACTTACTGTAACATGCTGCAATTCCACACCTCATTATCTGCCCAAGAGAAATGAAAACATAACCACACAGGCTTGTATGTGCATGCTCATAGTGGCCTTACACATAATAGCAAAAATGGAAACCATCTAAATATCTATTAACTGATAGACGGACAAACCAAATGCAGTATATCTACATAATGAAGTACTCTTCAGCAATAAAAAGAAATAAACTACTGATACATGCTACAACACAGATGAACCACAAAAACCTTACACTAAGTGTAAGGAGCCTGATGTAAAAGACCACACACTTTATGGCTCCATTACATAAAATGTCAAGGAAAGGCAAATTTATAATGATGGAAAGGTTAATGGTTGCACATGGATGGGGGATGAAAACTGGGAAATGTAAACAAGAATAGCCTAGAAAATTCTGAGGCAGAGAAATAAAGAGTCTCCAGTCCTATCGGATATTAAATATTATAGAATTACAGTAATTAAAACAGGATGCCATTGGTACAAGAGTAGATGGACAATTCAATGGCATAGAGTAGAAAGTTTAGAAAAAGAATAGGAAAAAAATAAGAGATTATGGCCAGACGCGGTACCTCACGCCTATAATCCCAGCACTTTGGGAGGCTGAGGCAGGTGGATCATGAGGTCAGGAGCTCAAGACCAGCCTGGCCAAGATGGCAAAACCCTATCTCTACTAAAAGTACACAAATTACAGCGTGCCTGTAATCCCAGCTACTCCGGAGGCCGAGGCAGAAGAATCGCTTGAACCTGGGGGATGGAGGTTGCAGTGAGCCGAGATCACGCCACTGCACTCCAGCTTGGGTGACAAAGCGAGACTCTGTCTCAAAAAAAAAAAAAAAAGGGATTGTAACCTTACTTCATACTTTATATATAAATGAATTCAAAATGTATTAGAGTCTTAAATATATTTTAAAAATCATAAAAGTACAGTCACGCACTGCATAATGATGTTTCAGTCAACCACAGACTGTACATATGATGGTGGTTCCATATGCTTATAATGGACCTGAAAAACTCCTATTTTCCAGTGATATCATAGTTACAGTAACATAGCACAA